AACAATATTAAGTTTTTGTGGATTATAAATTTTAGAACAGATCTGACTTCATCTACTTGCATCTTTATGCCGAAGTTGTTTGGACCTAAAGTATGAAATTTGATTGTGTTTGTAGTGAAGGGAAGTTTGTAAAATCTGGCCTATTCTTCTTCTTTAAAAATTGGTGATAAAGCTGTTTCTTTATCATTCTCTGGATTGATAAAGCTGGATTGATTGAAGTATTATTTTTCTCTTTGTTCAGCTTGTTCCACACTCATTGAGAATGCAACCGTGTTTTTGCTCTCCTCTTTTAATTGGAGATTAAGCATTACCCTATTGAAAAATTACCTACATATTTATTTGAGCTGAATTATCTAGTACTGGTGAGGATTGTTTTCCTACCAAACTTGGACTATTTTACTGAGAAAATTGCATCCGTTAAATGTTTACTTCAGTCAGTATATTGTTCAAAATCTTGTCCTTTAAAAATGACCGTGTCCAGGCAACCATTTCAGTGAGGTCTAAAGCTTCTTACACTTTACTAATTTACTTGTTTTCAGAAAAAAGTACAACTTTAATTGATAACATTTGCCAAAGTTTGGACTTCAGAAGTTACTCCTTATAACTTGTATATTAGGGGCAATTCTCTGAGCGGGTTTGTGCCTATCTTTGAGGCCCTCTAAATTAACTGGTTCTCTGGGTAGATTTGTTTCCATCTCGTTGCGCATCTCTGTGTAATTGGGTCAGCTGGTGGAAGTGTGTATGTGGCTGTGTGAGGCACCATTTGCTTGTGCGTTTTGTGGTGCATTGAGTGTGTGTGTGTGTGTCTTCAGCTTGGCCAAAGTCATCGCGGGGGGTCCATGTTCATTTGGGCCAGCGTCTGGCCGTATGGTGCAAAGCAGTTTGACAGCATGCGCACAAAACACGTAAATATAGCCTCTGAATTGACTTAGCAGAGCTCGGCAGGTACTAATGTGCTCACGAAGGAATTCACACTCAAAATAGTATGAGCAAGGTAAACAGGTGAAGGTAGCGGTCAAACATCAAAATATTCAAAATACTCCCACGGTGCGTTTTTAAGGCAATCTTTGTCACAGTAGGGTTAAATATAGCTTCTGTGGAAGTCCATATACGTTGACACAGAGGCCTCCATTGCTGCCTTAGATTGTTCCACTGTTTAGAATCAAATTAGATGGGGGGAGCATTTCCACAGAAGCAAAAATGGTATACATTCAGAACAAGGATAGATAAATAATCACATTAGATAACACACAAAGAGGCCCTCTGGAAGGTTAAACAATAGAGCTTAAATAAATGATCACATTTCTATATAAAACAGCTTATAATATTGTGTTAACAGCTGCACACATGGGTCCATAGGTACTCATAGCAAACAGGCATCTCTCTCTGGATCCCATTTGCCCTGTAACCACAAGAAAACAAATGTGGGCCTTCTGGTCATGTGTGTCAGTGTGCGTCTGGGTAACAAGTGGTGCATGAGAGGGGCCGATCCCTGTACAGTGTGGGGTGGCGTGTGTGCGTGTGTGTGTACGGGGCAGGAGGCTGGTGCACTGTCTCTGGTGTAAACGTGCAGTCAGGAATCATTTGGCAGACAAACAGGCCGCAGGGTGGCTGGGGAATCGACGCCCGTGTGCCTGTCTGTGTGTGTATTCGATAGAGCAAGTAGATTGAAAAGAAGGGAAAATAAGCGCACACAGTTGTGGTTATAGGAGTTTATAGAGTTTTGTCTCTATACATTAATACAACAATGACTTTTGGGGTCTTTACTGAAATAGAAGTCTCAGTATGAAATGATGGACTGAACTGAACCAATAGTTGCCTACGTTTAAGATCCTTTATTCACTTCACTTTATTCACACCTTAAATGAATTTGAAATCCCAAATGACCAGTTCTAAATAGTTTTAAACACACTCTCTGTCTAAGTAACGTGTAAAGCTAGACAAACACTATCATTCGTAAACACACTGGACAAGATTTCTTATCAACGATGAGCAGAAAGGAATGTAATTAGAGTCAAATAAGGAACCGTCTTTGTGACTTGAAATCACAGGTATGAAAGAAAGGTCTCCACCCACCCACTACCACCTCTCTCTCTCTTCATCAATACCACTCTCTCTCCATCATCAGCACTAAATTCCCATTGATGTTTCTTTTCTTCTGCTATATCGATCGCAGCATGAGAAGGAGGGGAGGACGAGAGGAAGGGAAGAAGGGAGAGATGCCGTTATCTGTTAATTAATTTGTCCTGAAGCCGGCCGCCTATTAATCAGACAGATAAGAGGCATTGGATGCTTGAATGGTGCAGACAGGCTGGTGGGGAGGGAGGGGGCTCATTGACTCTTATATACACAACATACAAATGCACATGTATATTTGACCGGTATGCAGATTCCTTTGGAAGGCTGTAGCATGTGGACGTTCAGATATTATATTGTCTGAAAAAGAAACCTGCTGATGTACCTGGCCATATCTCAATTCTCTCCACTTTTAGTAATTATCACTAAAGGTCATTATGAGGATGTATTAATTCATGCACCAATTTGAATTCGCAATTGTGTAAAATTTTATACAATTTCTTATTACCCTTATTAGTGACCCATTCTCTTCACTTAACCTCAGGCTTGAGAAAGACACAGTAAATGTGTGTTAATTTTAGCAATGCCAATGCTCATTTTCCCTTTGTTCGGATGAGTGGTGACCAACACCCTAAAGGCATGTTTATTTGTGTGGACGTGCATGAAGACCCCCAGAAGAAATCAGCCTTAATACATTTTGATCATTTCAAAAGTCCGATAGCACACCGTTGGCCATGGACATCACGTATATAGCATACCTTAAACAAGACAGATCTTTGTGTGCAAAAGGCTCTGGGTGTCATTGTAATTTGATATGCTCTATGGAAATACTTAGGATATATTTATGGAAAACAAAAGAAAAAACCACAAATTACCCTACTGGTTTAACTATTTTCAAGCAATCTTCGTTATTGTTATGTTGAGGAACGATTGGAAATACATGATCCAAAAAACATTACGCCACTACAAGCCTATACAAATCAACAAAATTAAATATAACATGATCCCATTATGTTACAGATAGGCTCACAAAGCAGAGAAAAAAAAAGAGAGAGAGGACTCTACTGGAGAGTATTCAAGTTTTAGTTTGCGTGTGACCCGATCGGGTTTTGTGGTGTCAGAGGAAACAGAGTAAAGGAGGCGGGTCTCTTTTTACAAAAACGATAATAATCCTCATCTAATTTAACAACAAAGACAGCCTATAAGTAAGTAACGTTTATTTGTTAAACGCCTTTCACAGACCAGGATCACAAAGCACTTCACATTTAAAAACATACAATAAACTAATACACATACAAGTCAATTACAAAAAACGCGTTAGTAGCATCATCATGTGCGGTGAAGTGAGAAAACTTGCCTAAACAAATGCGTCTCTACAGGAACTGAAGACGATGCTTCGCCTTAGTCCAAAAAATATTATAAAACATGTCCTGGTTTTAAAAATGTTTTCTTTTAAAACTGAAATACAGTATTGACATCACCTTTAAGTATGAGTTTCATTCAAAATGTTATGGAGTGAGTCTTGTCTCGGAAAATTCACACATGTTTTTGCCCGCATGTTAACAAACACATAGGGGCGTCATAACACATTACAAACAACAATAGCCAACGTCTAAGACATAATGAGACACTTGTCATTACCCATCAATGAGCTCAAAGATAAGAGCTTCTAATACCCATAAAGCCGCACTCACACAAAGGCCAGCCGCTCGTGAGGAAGCACGTCGCAGCAGATGTTGATGAAGTATTATCTCCATTCTTATCTTCCTGCTCCCCCTGACAGGATGATACACTGACGCTCGAATACATACATACACACAAAGTGGAGGCTGCCGTGGGGTCTGACAGGTGCGCTCCTTTGCCTTATGAGGCCCACACAAACATGAACCGAGTGGCAGGTGGAGGCAGACAGCTGTGTGCAGAGGTGTGAGCGGCCAGGTGTTCCATTAGAGCAGTGAGCTGTTAATAGACCAACACAGGAAGAAGAGATAACTCATCAACTCTTAGTAATATACTTATTTTAGGCTGTACATTATGTCACAAATTAGGGTCTTTTGTGGTATTCATTGTTGGCCCTTTTGCTAAATGGTGTATTAATTATTGCAATAGTTATTACATGTTATTTTGACGTAACTATTTTTGATCTTTGTTTATTTTGTATTTTTTTAATTGACTTTTACCATGATAGTCCTGCTGAGATTTCTGAATATCTTTTTCTGGGGAGCACTGGCCCCATTTGGGAGGAGCCTGTTTTAGTGGTATTGGAAACTGGAGTTTTCAAAGGAAACCTACACAGACACAGGGAGAACGTGCAAACTCCATCTAGGACTTTGCTCAGGAGTAAAAGCTCTGATAGATGTCTCTTATAAGGCGTCCATATTCATACTACCTTATACTTTAAAAAGTTAACATATGTGAGTAGCCTGTAGTATAAAAAAACACCAATCCAAGGTGAAACAGAACTTGCACAGATAGATTTATCAAGTGGAATGAAACATTCAACAGCAAACCTGACAAACAGCTGCTCAGTGTTAGACAGCCACAACAGATAAAAAAATGCCTGATCTGAGAGTGGATAGGCCAACGTTAGGAAAAGCATGAGTTTTGATGCGACAGCAGCAATTAGGCTGTGTGTTTGAGCGGTGAAGCAGCAGTGACCAGCATTGATCCACAGGGGTTGTGTCAGGGGGAGATAAGGCCTGCCTTCCCCCAAGAAGGACCCAGGGCCCCAGGGACAGAGGCAGAGGAGGGCGAAGGAGGCGAGGAGTACTCCTGTCAAGTGTGGGTTTGGAGGGTGGGCATTCGGAAAACAAGAAATCATAAAACAACCTAACTTTTATAAGCTTTTCCATCAAACATATCAGAAAGTTCTGACTCTTTTTGAGCTTAGCATTAAGACCTTGTCCTTATGTATTTTTTGCCAGGGTTCTCCACACTGTCACTGGCTGACCAGATGAGTCTTCTGCAGAGTGCCTGGATGGAGATCCTCATCCTGCGTGTCGTCTACCGCTCACTGTCTTTTGAAGACAAGGTATGCTTTATTTCTGTCTGTTTATTCTGTATTTATTATTATCAAAGGTATGCTCTTTATTGTTTATTTATCTGCTTTGTTTCCTTTGTTGTTTTTTCAGTTGGTATATGCGGAAGATTACATAATGGACGAAGACCAGTCCAAACTTGCAGGTCTTCTGGACCTTAACAACGCCATTCTTCAACTGGTGAAGAAATACAAATCTATGAAAATGGAGAAGGAGGAATTCGTCACTCTGAAAGCGATTGCTCTAGCTAACTCAGGTTAGTATTGCCTTTGTGTCACTATCGGTATGTGTATGCATGTGTGTCCCTCCCTGTGTGTGTGGGGGGCAACACAAGAGTTAATCCTAGGATTCTCTGCACTCCAGGGACTCATTTAGTCTGAACCATCAAAGAGCTGATTTTACTTACGATGAAACAAACACACCATGCATCACATTGAGCCCTCTTCGACAGACTATAGTTAAGCCACTCTCTCCAATGCTGCGCTTCAATACTCACACAGGTATACATAAACACACCTTATTATTGCTTTCCCACTCCAAACAAAGTGGCCATCCCTGTTACAATTAGCATAGTCGCCCCTTCAGACGCCTGTTAAATAAGGTAAAATCATTAGGGCCCAAAGTCCGTCAATAAGGGCCCCTCTCTGATGTGTCCGGTGGCATCGACAGCTGACTGACACACACACACATGCCTTCTTCCTCCCGTGACCTGTCTTTTGAACTTTGTCTTGGAAGCCGGCCAGCTCTTCAGTACTCTTTAATTACAAGGGGGAGCTGTCAATACAATGTGTTTAAATGAGAGAATGCAACTAGAGCTATGGAGAGGGAGGGACAGGCTCTTTGTTCCAATTCTGCCACCGTCAACACTTAAATGAATGAACACAAACCAAAATATAAAAAGCAGAGGGGGGTGAGTGCATTCTGTCACTGTTTGCAAAATTTGGAAATTGTCAGAAAGGCGATTTTTAAGTTAATTTATCTATTTAAAACCTACGCAATATTTCTGCACATGAATCAACACACAAATACAACACGGAAACAACTACAAGATTTGAAAAGGGGTTGGATGAAGCAAATGTATATATTATCTCATTCCCAGCTTATTTAGCACAACACAAAACAACACCACACAGTGCAACTCAGCAATATTAAACAGATGATAAGAAATAATTAGTTTAATGTTTATATAAGGCTTCTTTCTTTGACACAGATAGGTTTCACATTTGCTTTTGTTTCTTAAATTAATGAATATTGTGTAGGATAAGAAATATGAGAGAACTCACCCATTTGTCTTGACAATCAAAAATAATATGTAGTTTTTAATGACATTTTTAATCAGTAAATTAGCTTAAGCACAAATAAGAAGTTTGCCCCAGTGCCCAGACTCTCTAACTGCTCTTCAAGACAACAGAATGCTAGCATTAGCATTTTGAAGGGCACTGACACTAATTAATTCACAGGATGCTAATCGTCTGCATTAATGAAGCCCAGCCTTAAGAAATGTTAGCCAACGTGCCCCACATGTAAAGACTGCTAAACTAGCCATGGGAAACAGGATCGTGTGTATTTCTCCATTCACTCTTTTGATACTTGTGTGTGCATTGTGAGTTCCATGTTAACATTGGGTTTAACATCCTTATGCTCATTACCGCTTATTGTTGAAGTGAACGGGTCACAGCTCAGGGAGTGGCAGCCAGGCACTAAATGCACATCGTTATCACAATCATATGAAGCTCCATGCACTTTATAGACCGAGCCAATGTTGTATTTTATTACAATAAGCTTTATGTGTTTTGTTTGAACTTTAAAAAAAACAAAAACAAAAATCATGGAACAAGCAGTTTTATTGATCTTCTAGAATTCAATGTGAGCCTGGTCAGGGACTGCATACTGATACATGTATTATACATACTAGGGTATAGATTCCATCCTCTGTATTTGAAACAGCTTTGTGTAGAAAGTCATGCATAAATCAATGCACAAACTGTTGTTTCTACACACACTTTTTGTTTCACGACAAAATAAATGTTGTGCTTGACATTATAAAAGTTGATAGCACCACTTCCATAAACTTGCATCTTGTTCAATATTGGTAAAATGAATGTCTTCTTGTTGTCAAACTGCAGCATGTGCGCGTGTGTGTAGAAGCCTATCAATAGTTTCCTTGTGATTATTATTTAACATGCATGTAGTCATTGATCAGGCACATTGATCGGAGGTGGAGAGCTAAAGGCCAGCTCACATTAAGACTTGGCCTCCCTCAGGACCGTTATGGAGCATTATTATTGAGGGTCATTCTCGGCGATACTGCCACAGCTGCCAGAACCCACTGTGAGCCAACTCAGAGAACCAGGGCCCATGTTTACCGCACGCAGGCTGTCCCTCCATCACTCTACGTCCAGCCTTTTACTCCCCTCCCACTTGTGTCCGTGCTGGTTCATCTATCACACCCACAGACGGCAGCAGAGGCCTTTCAAACAGCAGTTTCCAGTTTCTTTTCAAACCACATGTCGCACTCCCGACATCAAAATAGATAGATTTGTTGTGTGCAGACGAACAAGTAATAATGTTTGGATCTTGCTTTGCTCTATATTGGTATTTTTGATATGTTTTTTGTTTGAGATAGATAATATTGGTGATTTAGACAAATACAGTTACATATTTCAAGCAAAAAAAAATCAGCCATACACACACTCAAACAAGACATAAAAAATCTTGAACTGTGCACATTTTTAAGTTAGGGTTCCTGTTAAATTTAGACTTGTAAGTGCACTATGTTGGAATAGGAGGGAATATCCATTGAGATGCTATTGTTTCACCTGGAATATTAGAAAAAATGACAACAAAAAACTCTTTAAGAATTATTCTCTTCATTTTGTAGTGAGTTTGTGAATTCCTGACATATTTATGAATCAATCATTCCATTTTTATTTGTAGAGCGCCTTTTATACACAGGGCAACACAAAGCGCTCACAGTCCACATCACCCAAGGCAGAAAATTATCACATAAAACAAACACCAAAATCACCATTAAAAACACAGTTAAAATCACACAGGTAATTAAAACCATTACAACATTAAAATCACACCAGGGATTAAAGAATAAGTTGTATGCACAGGCAAACAGAATCGTCTTTAACCTGGATATGAACATTGTCAGAGTAAACGCCTCTCTCACATTTTCAGGTAGACTGTTCCAGATTTTAGCAGCACAAATCTGAAACGCTGCCTCCCCATAACCGTTTCATCCTTTGACCCCATGGTTCTTATAAAAGTCAGGATGAATGCCACGAAACAAGAAGCTGAGACTCAAGACTAGAAATGTGACTTATGATGTCATTCCGTGTTCTCTCCAGACTCCATGCACATTGAGGATGTGGACGCGGTGCAGAAGCTCCAGGACGTGCTGCATGAGGCTCTGCAGGACTACGAGGCTTCCCAGCACCAGGAGGACCCCCGTCGGGCGGGCAAGCTGCTCATGACCCTCCCTCTGCTCCGCCAGACCTCCACCAAGGCCGTCCAGCACTTCTACAGCATCAAGCAGGATGGCAAGGTCCCAATGCACAAACTCTTCCTGGAGCTGCTGGAAGCCAAAGTGTGAGCAGGACAGAAGGACCCGCGGACGGTCGCAGGAGGCCCAGATTCACATCGAAATCCAAGACTGCTTTGACTGACCTTTTGCTCTTTTACACACGCACTGTCTGCTGATGCATCCCTGTGTAAATAACATGAAACAAGCCTCTCACCCGAAAACCCCAAACCATATTTGAATGACATGAATTTGAGTCAAGATGATGAACTAACATCACACGTTGCTCACCAAGGAACAAGGAAGGAAGATATTTTGCTTTAGAACTTTGAATAATCTCTTAAAAGTTACTGAAAAATGTAACTTGGGACACTTGTGGCAACGCAGTCAATTATGCATTAAGAATTTATAAATAACAAGTGCTTAAAAAGGACACATTTTAAGAACTGTTGTTTTACTTTTATGAGATTATGAGACCGTACGTTCCTCTTTTCCCAGTTTATTCCCCAGAGTTTTTTAAATGTTCAACAAGATGACATCCTAAAGTGAAATTGAGACTATGAACTATTTATTTCCGTTTACATGTACATCTAAACAACTAGACAGAAAGAGACAGAACTGACAATTGCTCCGACAAAAATGGAGGATGCCAGCAAACGTCTTATCGTCCACTCAAAGTTCTAACAACTGCTCACTGGCCTCCCCTTTACCAACTTGTGTTATATTCATGCCAATATTACCACTAAAGTGTTTTCACCTGTACAATTGTTGTATAAGCTGTAGTGTAATTATTTATGTTATTTTGAAGACTTGAATTTCTCTTTCACAATTGCCCCTTTTCACTGTCACATTTTCTTTCAGTTTGCAATGTCAAGGTTATGTGTGTTATTTATTTTTAATTTGTACAAATCTTCATCAGCATGTGAATACCTGAGACGTCTCTTTCTGTACTGAGGGAAAGGTTTGCTGACAACAATGACAAACAGACTTCTTTTTTGATTTCTTTCTATTTGGAAACCCAAACACTAGACGTGTATATAACTCTCACCATGTATATGACATAACTCTGCTTATTTTTCTTCTTAATATTGCCTTCTTAAAAACAAACCAGTCAACATGTAATTCTGTTTTATATCGGCCTGTCCACAATTATCATATTTATAATACATATATCGAGTAATAGTGTATTAACAAATCAGCCTCTAGGAATTTCAAGCGATTGTGATTTTCAAAGAAGGGGACCGTGTGCTAGGACTGTGTCTGCACTGAAAACGATTCTTGCCCGAATTTGGAGAGAAGGAAAGGCCTTGTACGGAAATGCTTCTCTTTATGTAATTTTCCATACGCTATTTAAAAACAATATTTATTAAAATGCTAATGAGCTTATTTTAGCGTTAGCTGAAAGGAAATTTAAACAACCTCTCAAATGGTTACATTGAAATGGAATTTATTCTCACTTTTACAGGCAAAAGTGAGTACCACTGTTTCCATTTCGAGTTAGAAATGGAGAGAAGGTTTTTGTTTGTTTTTTTCTTGCACTTTGTTCACTTTTGTTCTCCACAATTGCACATTATACGTGCACCATTACAGAGAGTTTTAAAACTGTAGACAGAAAAGCAGTTTTCAGCTTTAAAAGTGAAGATCTAAGAATCAGTTATGCAATTCTTAATAAGTGAGGAAGCCAATCTGTACATTCAGACTGTTCATTGAAGACACCATCATTGTTAGTAAGGGGTATTTTTACTCAATGTATATTGTAAAAATTATACAGATTATAACGTAAGACATTTCATTCCAAACAAAAACAGACAAAAATAGTTCAGTCAATATTAGTGATTTTTTTTTTTTTATAATTTTTCTCTTGTCTGTTTGTTGCCTCCATCTTAAGTTGTCCTGGACATTGCTGTGTTTTTGTAGTGGCCACTGTTGGTGTTTGTATTTCTAACACAGTCGGGACAACACCACCTCCTCTGTCTCTCATGTGGAAAAGGCTCTTTTTGGTCCGTAAGCCACCAGGCATTATTTCTTATCCTGATGATAATTCAGTACCCAACCAAAACTGACGTTGTGTAAACTAACCACTATTGTATATCTTTAGGTTTAATGTGAGCGTTAAGTCACTGAGGATGAACCATGCTGTATATAACTGCCCTCCATACGCTCAAACATGAGCACTGCACTATTTATCTGGCAACCAGAAAAATGTTTTAAAATACATGTCATGGTTTCGACGACAGGTCAATTTGGATATATGTACATTTTTAATGCTTGACATTTCTTGATTGCACTTATTTTGCATCACTGAGTTTACTAAACATGTATGTATTAATGGAATTAATTTTTACAATTGCGGTTTTTTCCATCTATGAAAGAAGGAGCTGACCTTGTGCAATGTTTTGTATTCCTGCTTTAATTTAGTTGCAAAGCCTTTAAAAGCCTTTAAACACAACTAATTAATATACTACTGAAACTTATTACAAGCAGTAGACCTAAGTTATTCAACTTTGAGTATAAGTATCATAGTGATCATATATCAGTTTAGGTGAATGTAACCACACCCCAGTAACAGTGAAATGTGTCATTTGTTTTTGCTGGACCCTGAAAACTCTATGATGCTTTAAAATGACTAACAATCTTTGAAAAGTGAAGTTGGGTCAAAGTGATGGGACGTGACATCGTCTTGCATTCATCATACTAGTTTCAGGCAGCCGCGTTTTAGAGCCACAAAGGAAGGACCTGTTCAACTCTGGGCGTCACACATTACATGCCCACCTCTGTAACCTGTAAATCTTTTCTATGGAAATCATGCATGAAACCATATTTTAGTAAAGACAATGAAAAGGGTAACCATAACCAACAGGCAGGCACTGTTTCCCCTACATTATATGGCATTAGTTGTATTTAATCTCCACTTGTAACTGCCACTGCTGCAGACCCGCACCTGGGCAGCCAGATTTACTGAATTTTGGAAGGACAAGCATTCGGATCAATAATGTTTTGAATGCTGACCCTTCCATAGAGACCAGTTGAGAACCAGAGAAGACCCTGTAGTGTTATTTAAAGCTGTCTGTAGATTTTAGATGTGCTCCACATCAATGAATAAAAAAAAGAAACAATTACCTGTATATTTTTGTGACGTGTATCATACAAGTGTGCTTCGATGATAATGTCCATTTGTGTAAATGTATTTATTTCACATTGTATATACTGTTCAATGCAAAAGAGAGACCTATGATTCTGTAACTTAAACTAATATGGGTTGAACCATTACATGTGTTACTCCAGACTATGCCTTTCAGGATTATTACAGTAGAGCAATATCAATTAAAACCAGGCTTCCAGTTTTGACACCTGTCTTGTCTCCTTTATTACATCACCCATATGTTCGTTATAAAATATCTGAAAAGAGTTTTGTCAACAACAAATCTATAACCAACATTTTCACAAAGGCCTTGATAGACATCCTGGTTTTATTCCTTGTTTTGTCATCAATGATTTGTGAATCATAACGTGACCTTTTTAGGACAGCTGCCACATGTTACTTTACCAGTTAGATTAGCTCGACCTGGTGAGTTCTGGCAACCCGGATCACAGACTTTCTGATTGGTGAAACAGTGGTGGGCGGGACATCAATAATCATTTTTAAATCCAAGTGTCTTGGCTAACTACTGTTATCAATTATAGAAGTATTCAAAAAGAGCATGGTTTATGAATGCCTTTTGACAGATTAGGGCCATTTGATAATGACTCGACATGAAAATCTTACATATTGCTACTTTAAGCCAATATTTGTTAAAATGTTGATAATTGGCTCACAGCTTGTAAAACCCCATATTTTGAAAATGGACTATAAGCCATATTTTTTCCATGTATTTGAATTTATTTGAGCTACTGGCACAACTTGCAATATTTCATTTCAGTACAAACTCATCTGCTCATTGTGATTCACAAATCACAAACAGGTGAATGTATAAAGTCAGATCGATAGTACAGTACATGCATTCCCATAATGTTTGGCTCTGCTACATAAACCAGACACAACTGAATATTTGTTTAGGCCTTTGTGAAGGGAAGGTTGATTTTCTGTTCAATTGATTAGTGAGGATCATTGATAAGCTGAATACTGTCTAAACCGAGCCTTAATTATTTCCAAGAAGCAAACACGCGCAGACAGCAAAATGCAAACTGTATTCTGTTTGGAAGTAATGAGGGGTTTTCTCTCATCTTCGTAGAGCAGAAGGTGAAATACAAAGTCTGTATAGAAGAGTTCCATGGAGCATTTAAGAGACCACAGACTATGATCCTCAGGCAAACTGATAAAAGATCATTTTTTCTCTCTTTTCTTCTGCCTCAGATTTTCCACTTTACTTGGGTTGTTTCCTGGTTGACCATCCATTTGCAGATATGTTCTGTTTTACTTGCTTGCCTTTTGGAGTTCATTTATTTTATTTATCTGTGATTCATTATTATGATACGATAAAAGCTACTTGAGCATTTCAGCTGCTCAGGGGCTCTTATCGTTAACCTTGTGGAACGCGTGTAAGAGTGGCCGCCACACCACGGCTCGCTAATGCTTGACTTAGCTCTCCTCCTCCACCTTCTGGCTCTGTCTCTTTATCTCAGACACCATCTTTTTTTGTATGTATCATATCTACAAGCTGTGTGTGTGTCTAATCGTATGTCCCTATAATGGATCCAGACATGAATACCAGCACTTATTTTTTGACGTGATTATTAGAGTTGATTATTAGAGTTGATTATTAGAGTTGATTATTAGCTGGGCTCCATTCTTCCAATATTCAAAGCTTGAATCACAGCAGCAGTATTTGAGTTCAAGCAACTCGGTGAACACGTCTCAGAGCAAAAATGTTACTTGGAGAACCATTTACATTCCGAAAATGTTACAAGAACGATTAATAATTTTGCAATCGGAAAGACAACTGATTGTAGACTTGTGCGGTAATGCCTTGGAGCCTAAGATATAGCAGAGAATTTGATGAGAAATGTTCCTGTTTATGCTGGTTTAGATGGGGTAGATTTTAGTAATAATTGCTGAAGGCCTATGTATGTTG